GGCCGACACGTCGTAGATGGGGCTCCACTGATTCTGCAGTATATCTAAGAGGAGAGGGTGAGAAACGATATATATATATATAATTAAATATATGTGTATTCGGACGCACGCTAAGCCGTTACGTACTCCCACACTGGCCTCGCCCCACGCCGCGTACTGACTCCGCCCAGACACAGAACCCTCCCTCGCTTCCCCGCGAAGACTTACCTAGACAGATCTGCCCGTCGTTGTAGATATTCGGGTGGAACATTTTGGTCACGAAGCGCACGGCAGGCGCCTTCACAGCCACCAAGGCACGGGAGGGAAAGGGAGATGGAAAAAGTATTGGGAACTCTTCATATTTGGCAAAGGTCATCGCGTGCAAAAAAATATGTGCATTTCGCAGCTGCGGACGTGCTTGGAGACCTTGCCTCCGTCCCAAGACTTCTCCTACCTTGTTCGGATAGTCTTCCGTGAACTCGAGAAGCAGTTTGAAGGTGCCTCCCTCCCATGGCGTGTCATCTGGCCCGAAGATGACTGCTTGCCAGGTCATGATCTGATGAGAAGTGGATGCAGGAAGCTAAGCGTGTATCCAAGTTGAATCCTCATCTCATTGGGACGGGTCACTCTCTCGCAGAGGGCTTCCACATAATCACGTGCAATCCTCATCCACAACACCTACATTGTTGTCCAGCGGAGCGCCCTGCACCCCCTGTGGTGGATCGCTTTGCAGCCGTTTTAAGTCTCGCATCAGGCGGCGGCGGGCGGCAGTGGACATGACTTTTTTGGGGCTATGAACTCAATTCCGGCGTTTTTGGTTGCGCTGCGTGTCTGAGTGTGAAGCGTGCAAGTATCGAAGGAATGAGTGAGGAAAAAGAAAATAGAAAGTGAGGGTACTCCCCATAATGCGACCACGAAAGCTGGACGAGCGTCCTCTTCGTACTCTGTTCGTTTTGTTCTCACTACAATATCGCATAACGTTTCCCAGGAAGATTTTCGCAGTAGTAGTGAATTTGATGGCAGCCGATATCAATTGTCCGCTCAGTGCAATCGCCCGTTCGCTTCCCGAGTCCATGGTCAGGCACAAACCTCAAAAACGAGGGCCGACCGAACCCCCTTTTTTAGTTTACTACGTCATTTTCTGTTTATTAAAAATGGACGACAAGGGCCTCGCAGTGTGCGGGTACGAGGCACACCAACTACCTTGTGAGGGCAGAAAGAAAAAGCCGGACGAGCGTCGCTCCCAGCTGGAGATGACAAGAACGACAGATCGGTATTGGAAAGGATAATAATGGATGGAATTTGCCACCTATTCGTGCTCTAGAACGTTGCCCCAAGGCTTGGCCTTGACTATCATCTCTTTTCACTGCACAGTTTGGTGGCAAAAGCTTAAGGGAATTATCTTCGGCATGAGATTTGGTCGGGTATGCGTCTGCCCTCTCCTCACCCTCGTTGTACTTTGCCTTGTCTGTGAGGGCAGCAGCACCAGGGCCATACACTGGGTGAAAACAGGCGCCCGTTCAAAACAAGGCTTCCTTTTTCAATCCCGTGATCTGTTCCGGGGAGAAGAAGTTGCCGGAAATAAAGAATCCCAGTCGCGGGCGGTGGCAGCTTGGGTCCGGTGGGTTAATGCATACGTACGCGTCTTGGGGGTGGGAGGAGGCTTTGATAATACAATGCTCAAAGGGTAAATGCGAGCATGGTTTAGTTCTGTGTTTTAAAGAGAGAACATGCATGCTCAGAAATCAGGGAAAAGTGGGCATCTTGTTTCACTGATGGGAATTGGTAGGGAGTCACTTAAGCGCTTAGTCGTCCTGTCTTACAGGAAAAAAGAGAATGGTAATGATGACGGGGAAAAACCAAGGAAGCCGCAAAAAGGTGCGTGTAAGACCGGAAGGAGGACTGATAGGACGCACGACTGAGTACGGACCTCTGAACTTCGCTCTGGTTCCAAACCATTCTGACCAGGCAAAAGCCGCAAGGCAAACAAGAATTCCCCCCGCCCCCCCGTCTTCACGGCCCGCATCGCGATCTTGGGCAGTCCAAGCGAAGAGTGGGGACAAGGCGTGCGGGAAAGTCTCATAAGCGAAGGTAACTAGGCCGCTACGGCTGGAGCGAATGCCTTGAAAACCAGGGGGTCTATGGCTCCCATCTTGTCTTTTCGCCTGCCAAGAATCCAACCGTTCCGTCCCCTGTGGACGTCTTTTCTTTTCCGGCTTGTCTTAGGTTGGATGGAGGAGCGCGTTCAAGTTCTACCGATCCCCTCCCCGCAAGCATATCCAGAGGCGAAATGGATGGCATATCTACGGTGGGTTTCTCTCTGGCGTCTATCCTGAGAGTAAGGTCCGAAGATGGAGACAATCTATCCACAAGCTCCATCCGCTTCAAACATGTGAAGAAGTCTATGTCAGTGTGGCCTTCCCACTCCTTCACGCATTCCAATCATTGATCCCAGCGAGGGTGCCGGCCGATCCCCTTCCTATTCGTTGTCACCGGCCGATCCCCTTCCTATTCGTTGT